CGTCCACAAAATGTTTCCTCTTTCCAGCTTGCTGCAGCAGCCACATTTATGGTTTCTCACTTTAAGTTTGAACAAGCTTGATGCTCGGTTCCTTACACAAAATGAAAACTACTTTAGCAAAACAGCTGCTAGGCCATGTAAATATTATTATTTTATTTAGACTAAAAGTATTGGAACTTATCATCTGTCGAGACTAATTTGACTGTCAGTGGCAGACAGCTTTAATCCCATTTCAATCGTTCAGAAGTTTTCTTTGACCATACGAGAGCTTTTTTAAGTTTTCTACAAATTCTCCATAATGACTATAAATTCTTAAGTGGTTACGCAAGGAGCCATGTTGCATTGATCCGCAGCTGAAGCACAAGAAAATTCAGCTATCAGTTTTCCGTTTTCCATTCTGCCCACTCAGGCCAAAGGCACTCATAGTTTACGAGAACCGCCAAACCGAACCAGATTCAGCCCACGTTGCCACGCCCATTTTCCCGGGCAGAAAAGCCATTAGCAGGCGGGCGGACGTTTTGTATTTAAGTGGAGCAAACGGCAAAAGGCGAAACCGGGGGAGCTGCTAAAAAATGTATCTAAAATAAAAATAAATTGTTAAAAAACTTTCGGCGCAGAGAGGCCGCGAAAGGAAATATAAACAAGCTGGCTCAGGACATTCAATGTGCTCTGCGAAATACAGTTATTAAAATTTTTACTACGACGAACCAAAGGACGAACCAAGATGATGATGATGATGGCATTCATCAGGCCGGCATATTGATAGGCACAACTTTCTGTGCGGAAGGATGAGTTCCAGTTTGGAGCTCTCGACGAGCTGACGAGCAATTTACATGCCAATCGCCCAGCGTCTTGGCCCTTTCCCTTGACCTTTTGGCTGTCTTAATACCACTTTACGCTTTTTCTCAGCTATTAATTGGTGCACTTCAAAAAAATACTGTACCTAACACTTGCAAAGCAATTTTGAAAGGTAATAAGCTTAGCCTGTATTTTTAAGCCTTTATGTGTGCCTTAAATTACAAAAGTAAACTAGCGACAGATAAAGAATAATACGATTTGATCATATTTGTTTTCTGTGTGGCCACAGCCAAACCTCTGGAAATGTGCTACTCAAATATTATTTGTTTAGGCAAGCAATTAAAAGTGGATGGCCACAATATGAGTTGCTGTAGTGCCCGACGGCAATGATTGTTAAAATGTTGGCAAATTGGATTTTTGCCAGCCAGAGGCGGGCAGGCAAATCTGGTGAATTCTGGCCAGGTCAGTTGGTCACTTGGTGTCTCCCTCTCCCTGGTAATGGGGCTCTCGTCCAGCAAAATAGGCGTAAAATGAAACTTTTAAGTACTTTATGGCCAGCACTATAAAAAAGGAAACAACAGCAACGGCAGCCGAACACATCTGCCATGTGGCGCTGCTACCAACTTTGGCCACCATCCGCCCACGCCTGCAACTAAAAACCACATTTGGTGGGCAAGGGAGATATGCTGTGGCCATGGCAAACTTTCCCTGAAAACAGAAACGATGAAGCAACTTTTGGTCGTATTCTAAATATCACACCGGTTGTAAAATGATTATAAAACATAATGGTGGAGCAGCAACTATTCGGTGGGATGTTGTGGGTGGATACTGTTAATCTACTCCAGGTACTGATGTAAAGCTTTTTCAGCTCGGGGATTATGATGCCTCGATGTAAGGATGGAAAGTTCGTAAAATCTGCAAATGGTCCGTAATAAGTTAATAATGATTTAGTTTAAGTCTGTGGTTACCAGAATATACAAAAAAATCAATTATTATTATTCAAATGATTATTAAACTACTTTTAGAAAAATTCCCATTGAATTTCATTATAATTTCCAGACCTTTCTCCGCCAAGTCTGGTGTTTGGTGGTCCAGAGGTATGCTAAACTTTTCCAAGTGTGACCATGTGTGCGTGTGCATGTGTGTGTGCTAGTGTGTGTGTGGGAAAACCGACGCTGACATTTCAGGCACGTGCGAGCGAAAAGGTCGAGCGGGGGGCTGGTGGAAAATGGAAAATGGTTAGCATAGTTCGGGGCGCGTGCCGAGATCAAAGACAGTCTACGCCAGCGCGCTGGCGATAAAATGACAGTGCAATAACAGGGCAAAGCACAACAGCAGGGGCAGCAACAAACAGAAGCGTGAATCAGGCGTCAGCAGTTGACAATTGAAGTTTTTGTTTGGCACTCGCATTACGAGGACGGGCCATCAGGGCGTATGCGGAATGCGAGATCCGCCAGCAGTCGCCATGCGAAGCTGATTGACATGGGAAAGGTCAGGCATCATAAGCAATAAAAATCGCATTCATCCCAAGAACATCAGCGCCATCGATAAAGAAAATTCTACGCAATGCCAGAGGGACTTTTCATAAATATTTAACGACGTTCCAATTCGCTGACTGAAGACGGATTAATAAATAAGTAAGTAACTTATTACGGAAAACTGAAATCTGGATGTCCGAAAAATGCCAATATCAATCACAGAATAAAGCGGCATTTGACGCCTGATATGTGCTGTGTTAGATGACTCATTTTTAGTTATTTTTTAGCCAACTTTTCGAAACAACTTTGAAATATATTCCCTTTATGCATGTAGAGGGAAATCCAAAAATCATATTTATTTACAATACACGAGTTAAACTGCCGTAAAGCTAATTCCCTTTATCGATTTGCAATGCAAAACATTTAACGACCATTTGGCAAGTTTGATATAGCCTCGCAAGAGTATTTAAACTTTTGTTGTCCTCTAAAAAATACCCCGAATATACATTCCGATATGTATGTGCGGATTGAAATGTATTTGAAAATGGCAATTTACGCACTGTTAGGGACAGTTCAAAAAAAGATTCAGCTGCAGGCATGGCACCCAGAGTGTCCCTTTCTCGGCCAAAATGTTTACCATGGCCATCGAATGCGGATATACATACATATACACATGGGGGATATATGGAGGCAAAAAAGGAGAAGATAGGAAGGATGTGGGGCGAATGAGCCCGCCCCAACCCCTCGGGCACATTGATGCGCATACATATCTCTTACTGATTGTCGATTTGATTACGTCAGTGGTCCAAACCCAAAACTCCGTGTCCCCTGGCGTGAAGCTTCAGACCAAATTATGCGAAGTATTTGCTTATTAGTTTTTTCCCTTTACCCCAAATAAATTGACATTTGCTATTAGAAAAAGGTTTGGCCCGAAAGTGCAAAAATGCGAAAAACTCTGGCAATGTCTTTGGCCAGGGAATATATTCGCCCACATATATTCTATATGATATGGCCAAGGCAGGCCATTGAACGTTTCGGCATTTACAAATCGACTATCAGTACACGGAGGCCATTCAACATTTGTGAGTTGTGTGATGGCTTGTGGGAGGGTCAGCTTCTTCAAATGGCAGCTGGCGGCTGATAGGGAACTTCTTTTGGATGACTGTGGGAGATGTAGCCACTTTATAAAGCCAGCAATTTTGTGCTGAATCGAAAATATTATAAACTAATTTGTATTGCTGAAGAAGAAGGCAAATTAGCAGAGAAAAGAAGACACCATTTGTTCGTACTTATTTCGCCTTCGATTTTGATACATCATTTGCCATTAGCCTGTAATCGTACCAGCAAAATGGCTTACTTCTCCCACTTTGGTGACAATTCAATTGGAATCGAGGAAATAGTAGCACCATCTTGTTGAAAGGGAAAGCCAGAGTCGAGGAAGTAGGCTCCTTGCCAGAGGAAAATCCCCAAAATGCCGCCCAATAAGCAGCTCAACGTGAACTTATCTAAGGGCAGTAAGTACTTCCAAAGCAGTCACCCAACGCCACCCGGAAAATCGTCAAGTTGGGCTAGGAAAGTGCTACACAGAGAAGAACAGAGTGCTACATGTGTCGGTGAAAATAAAATATAGATGTTCCAAACACTATTGCACCACTTTCTCATATATCTTTCTTTTGATACTTTAAATGTAATTTTAATGTAAGATACCAAAATGCACTTTTTTCTTGTTAAACCTAAACTTACTAATATCGCATATTGATGCATATTTCTCCAGGTGTTCTGCTACTGCTAGCTATCGTTATTCCCTGGACGCAAATTATGCATTAGGCTGTAGAAAAATGGCCTAAAATGCTATCAGTGAAGGCGACAAAGCGCCTGAATGGGAAGCGGAATGTGGAGCGGTGATTCCCCATCGGCAGTCGGGAGCAATCAAAATGTGTAAATTAGCAGTGGCAGGTAACAAATCCTCATCGTCGCCGTGATGTGCGTGCACATCCTCCCGTTACAAGGATCTTGATCACAGTAGACAGCAGCCAGAATTGCAATTTCCACTTTAATCTCCGCTGCACACGGAGCACGGCCACAGCTTATAATTCCGTTTATAATTACACACAAGCCAGAAAGCCCAGCCTGCATTTCCAACTGCATTCTGACCCCAGGACGACAAATGTTGTCAACGCTGCAAAAGTGCTGGCCAAAAACCTGGCGGCAACACTCCCCTAATTAGCGCAAAACTCGGCGGATGTCAGCCCAACCGAAGGAAACCGAATCCAACTCACCTGAGGAGAACTGACCTGAACCTCTGAACTGCTGAACCTCCTGACCAGCTCAGCTGCCGGATTTCGAGTGGAAAGTGGCATCTGGCGTGCGGCATTTGGAATTTGCAATTTCGCCGGTGGTGAGTTCACTGGAGCCTCGGGTCGGAAAATCGATTGCAGCTTGGCCAATCAATTATGCACAGCCTGGAACCATAAGGACACAACGAACTGCAGCACTGGAAGGAATTTGGCCAAGCGATTTATGAGTTTTTGCGAATTAAGCTAATGACTTTGTACATGCACAAAATAATCAAATCGACTTCAGTTAAATTTGCGCATACACTCGTAGCACTAGAAAGTTTTGGTAATTGCTAGTTCTGCTTTTACATACCAAGAGACTTTTAAAAATTAAATTGATTTGCCTTAGGATACCCATAACTTAACTGTCTACAAAATATTTCTTGAACATAACAATACATTTTAAATTTTGTGCTACGCACGTTCGTAAAATTCGAATAAAATTTTTCAAATATTTGTATTACTTACCATTAATCATAAATTATGGTGTCGAAAGTTTCTCGTGATACGGCTTACGTTGTTGTCAAAAATATCCTGCAGAACTCACAGGCCAAAGGACCAAACTGCCTGGAAACGGTGGAGCTGCAGATTGGGCTCAGGAACTACGATCCTGAAAAATGCAAGCGCTTCCATGGAAGTGTGCTACTACATCACCTGGCGGTTCCTCAGCTAAAGGTCTGCGTCTTCGGGGATCAGGAGCACTGTAATGAGGCCAAAAGCATTGGAGTTGATTGCCTGGATGTGGAGGCATTGAAAAAGCTGAACAAAGATCCCAAGTTGACCAAGAAGTTGTCCAAGTCCTACGATGCCTTCTTAGCCTCCGAATCGATAATCAAGCAGATCCCAAGGATACTGGGTCCTGGTCTCACCAATGCGGGCAAGTTTCTCACTCCGTTGAGCCATGGGGAGTCTATGAGCACCAAAATCAAGATACTATCTACCAAAAAGCTATATATGAAAAGGATGGAATGTCTGTCCGTTAATGTCGGCCACGTTGGCATGTACCCAGAGGAACTGGCCCGAAACATAACAACATCCATCAACTTTTTAGTGTCCTTGCTGAAGGATAACTGGCAGAATGTGCGCTCACTGCATATAAAATCATCCTTGGGTGAAACCCACCGACTCTATTAACAGTTTCTTAAGCTAAATAAAAAGTAGTGTCCATTCATGTATTATAGCGTGCAATAAAATTTCTGTATTATCTTTGTTGATTGTACGTTTTTTATGTCATTTTTAAGAAATTATGGCAATCTACCACAATTAAGCCCTTTTTTCAAAGCAACTTGTCAAGTTTTTATCTTTTTGTCTCCTTGCTTTCTCCCCAAGTATTCGACAAAATCTCAGTAAGCTGTGACATAATTTCTTTGGCCTCACATCCCACTCTTTATTTGGCTTATGAGCAATCCCCTTTGTTAGCCCGGCGATATATTATAAATTTCTTCTCGACTTTTTCCGAGAATGGGGGGGATTGGTCTAAGCCAAGCGGGGAAGATAAGACAAGTTCACGGCACATGCTGAGCACGCTAATCAGGAAGGCATTTTATTGGGGATCCTGCAAAGAGGCAACAAATGTGCTGCGCTTGACTTATCCTCAATAATTATGGCTGTTTGTTGCTGCGTCGATAAGAACGTTGAAATAATTACGGCCTAGGCAAAAACTTTGATCCGGATGGGAAAGCCGCCGCCAGATTGGCGCCTCCCATGAATACGGAAACTAAATTACAAATTGTAATATAGATTAAAAAATCAAAAATACATTACATACAGCATTATATATGCTGGAAATATATTACTGGTCCTTCCATACTGTTAATTTAATTTTCTCAATGAGATATTATGTAAGCTAATGCATATTTAATGGAAATTAATTCAGGTTTTCTTACCCGAAAGGATTCCCAAAATGTCCCATTATTTTGGAGAAGTCTTTTTCAGCTGAAACGAATGCAAGCGGGATGGAAAGGTGCCATCCTGAAAAAAGTTGATAATTTCTTATTCAAATTAAACATGAGCGGCTGCTCCAGCAATGGAGCTCTTGGAAAACATATCGGAAAACTCAATTACGAATTCATTTCGCTTGTCAACTTTGACATCCAGACAGACAAAGTCGGAGAAACAGATACGTACGCCCATCTAGAGGATGGCAAACGCTGTTACTAATTTCAGCTTGTAAACATATTTTAACAAAGATGTCAACAACGTGTGATGCACACCCACTCCCAAAAACGGCGACTGATGAGGGCACAACAATTCCATCTGGCCAAGTGATATATGTCTTTCATATAGAAATACCATAAACAATGTCATTTGACATGCAAATTTATTTATGAAAATAACAGACGCAGGAAATACAGAACAGAAACAAAGAAACGAAGCCTGGCGAGGCAACAAAAATCACTCACACACACACACGCCCGATGGAAAATGAGCTGCTGAGCTAAGGAAAAACCAAGCGACAGCAAAGGGGAAACCAGAAAGCGGCAAAAGATTCAAGGGAAATCCAAAAGGCTAAGGAAACGGCAAGAAAAAGAAATTCAAGCGTAAAGCGAAAGTAACTTAAGCAGCGGCAAACTGGGCAAATAAAGTGTGCTGACGATGGGAGAGTGGGTGGGGGTGGAGTGTTGGGGAAGGTCGTTGGGTGGGAGAACGGTGGGTGGCTGAACCCGGACCACAAGGGGAAACTTACGGCACTCACACACCGACACACGCACATGTTGAAAAATTCAACAGAATGTGGCATGGCAGATAATTTTTTTTGTGTATCGATCCCCATCTCAATCTCTCCCCCATTGTTTTCCAGTATACAGTATACTGTCTTAATATTTCGGTTTAAGGGCATTACAATTTCCTCAGTGGGCAATGGGAGCAATTCAGCTTAACTTCCAGGTTTCGTCAGTTAGTTAAACAAGAAAGGCTTCCCAAATGTAACCATTTATGCATTATGCATGTATGCCCTCAACAGAAACATAAATGAATTTTGTGTAACTTTGCAAAATTTCTTTACTTAAAGTGTAAACAAATGATCCACTAGGCACATTACATAAGAAATGTGCTTTCATTTAATAAGCATTTGCAATTCCCAGGGAAATTAATATGGTACCAAGAGCATCTCATATTCTCCTTAGTTCCATCCTTAAACATTTGTCTCTTCTTGTTTTTCCTGTTGACTCTGGCCAAACAAGGAGGGGGTCGGGGTCAAACCTCTCCAGTTGACCCAACTCCGATATCTTTATGCTTGATGCAGACAGCCAGGCGAAACAATATGTGTGCGCCAAATATTTTGATAAGTGTAAGCAAAAATAAACATTCTGTTCAGGGAAGAAGCTACTGGAAAAAAATACAGCAGCTAAAACACAGACAGAACCCAAAACTTGGACGAAAACAAATGGAAAGTCGAGCCAAAGAAAATAGGGAAACTGATTTTCCTTCTTCTCCCGATTTCACTTAAAGGAATTCGGGGATATTGACCATTGTTGGGAAGAGTTTCAGAACATCTAAATTTTTTTATTTGGCTATGCTTGTGGGGAAGTCCCTAGGTGAGTAATTTCACTTTTTGAGTGCACTACTATAGTTTTTATGATATTTGCAAACCTAATATAAGTAGGACTGAAATAGAAAAACTACAATGTGAAAAACTTCTTAAGCATGTTAGAATAGTGATGTTTCCAGTACATTGTATTGTCACCAATGTATTCTGTATGGTGCATGGCCACTCAGTACAAGGCAATTGTTATTCCAAGTGCGAGTTTTTTGCAAGTAATCTAAGCCCCTTCTCTGGTATAAGCTTCTTCATCGCGGCTGACGAACCAAATATAATTAGGCATTTGCGGTATTTGTTTCAATCTGCGTCGCATAATATTAATATGCCGAACGGCACTCTAGGCGGCCGAATGCTCTTGGCCTGGCCAATACTCGTAACCAAAACTAATTTACTTAAGACGCCAGCGAGTGACCTCGCTATTTGTTTCGGCGATGGGGGCAAAGCGCAAACTTGCGACCCAAATTATGACCGGATCGCATGTGAACGGGGCCATTACATATATCACGTGATTCTGAAATTAAATTGAGCCGCTTGAAATGCAAATTTGGGAACAATCAAAAAGCATTTTCCGTGAGTTTGCTGAATTATGGAAACATAAATTGCACAATACGAATCCTTCACATTTACACATTGTTTGTTTCACAGACCCATCGACATATGGTAATTTGTACATGAAATTTAATCAGATTCTTCAAATTACAAAATGGGTTGACTATTCAGGTGGAATCTACTTTCATTCTTCAAATTATTAGGGCCTGAAAACAAAGGGTATGCTTGAATTATTTGTTTTGCTAATGGAATTATACATTTCATCCACACTTTATCAATAAATTGAAGACTTTACTCCTCGGTGGTAAAACGAAGTGCACTTACTTTTTATCACTAGATCACTAATTTACAAGTTTCAATAAAACAAAATACCATTAAGATTACATAAATTTGGTTGCTGTTGGTGTATTCATAATTTACTGGTAGTATTATTTTAATTAATAATAATACATTTAATATTTTGCATGTACAGATATGTTTCCATCGTAAAATCAGCACACCCTTGATACCCATTCTTGCATCCACTTACTCAGATTTCTACAGCATATGCGTAATATTTGCATAAAAATAACACCGACAACAACACTCACGTCTCCGTTGAATGTTGATTGTGACTCCTGCTTCTTAATTTGAAATCCCCCACACACACAGTGCAAACCTCCAAGAACATCCCTCCTGGCAGCCAACCCAGGCCAAGGGATTTTGTGGCTCAAGAGCTTTAGACCGAAGACTTGTTGATAGGGGTTGACCAAGGCGACCAGCTCCCCACTAACCCTTCGCCCTTTGCGCCAGACAACCGAAATCGATTCGGATTTAAATGTATATTTTCAATAGATAAGCCAGCAATGTTCCAGCAGCTTGCTTAGCTCCATTGCACACACACCCCAAATGATGTATAATGCACTTAAGTGGGCGAGTATAGATACAGATTTTGCGAATCTGATGGATGTGCGTCAATAACGGGAGCGTGTGCAAGTGATTTCACTCCAGTTTGATTCGGCAATCGAGCAATCAGCCATAGTTTAGCAAATCGAAAAACTTATTCCATTTTGTCGAAGCAAAGTGGCGTACATGGCAAGAAAATGAAATTTGAATCGTAGACTCCAATGAATACAGCCATATCTTTCTTTGGAGGTACGACACATACAACTTTTTAATTTCTAATCAATCGATACAGACAGAGATATCGGAGGTTTCTCAATTGATTTTCCTGCTTTTCCCAGTGTAGGCGACTGCAAATTGTGCGGCACAAATTGCGGTGCCATTGTTTGAAGTGGCTGAAGAGTCATACTCCAGCGGAGAGTATAACTGTGGCCAACTACAACGCATTTCATGGCCCGCAAACTGTATTTCCGCTGCGGCAAATGGGACCATGAATGAACGGCTCTGGCCCAATGGATGCATCAACATTTGCTCTTTGAATATTTAGTATTATGTCACATGAACTCATAAATGTTTCACCTCCGTTCCCCCATTTTTCCGGCTATCTCCGGGTCATCATTGTCTCTGTCCCCGAATATATAGCCATATTCTGGTAGTAGCTGCTGCTGCTGACAATGATGGAACGCTGTTTGATGTTTGATGTTTGATTGGTTTGCCTTTCCAATGGCGACATTGATATGAGTTTCTTTCGGGCGGAAATTTGTGGTCTGGGTCTGCTGTTCTTGATGGTGATTGTGCTCCACAAGGGGCGGAATACAAATGATAAATATAAATAGAAGCCAAGCTTTGCTTTCGATTGGGGCACCCTGATATGTAGTTAATGATGGAGTGTCAGTCTCCGGCAGTACGGGGAAAGAGTTCAGCGCAAGAATATATGAATGTATTAATTTTTTATTGGACATTTCATTTGTACAACCTCAATTTGGGTGGGCTTATTCCGGCCTTTGACAACACATCTTTAGATATACTTCATTTACAGTTGAGGTAGACTTGGGTTCCATTCATTTAAATAATTCAAGTTCTTTAACTGCTGTCGGCCAGCCTTCATCTTGCAGCCTTGAATGCCGTATCCCTAAACAATTTCACGCTAAATCCAAAGCTAAACCCAAAGGCACATAAATCACAGGACGAACTTTTGTTTTCAGTTATCACTAGACACCCAGACAAGTGCATGTGTGTGGG